TCCACGTTACTTAGAACCTGAAGCTACTTTCTCGGAAAAGTGACCCTAAAATGAACTACCCTTGTCTGTCACGCCAACTGCTCACATTGTCGCAGTGAGAATGGATGAGGTGTGGATGAGTGGATGACAAGTTTCCATAGCAATTTTCCTAATGGATACACGAACTGTCCAGTTACCATGGCAATTCGTTTTTGTTTTGTGGGCTATGTAGATTTTCAAAAAAGCCAGAACTATGCAACTACAAGGTCAGTTTCCAACAAAAGTATTGCACATTACAGTTATGACTGTAAAAACGTTATGCTAACATCGTCGAACGTGGGCCTCCACCATTCGACGAAAACACGTCTATACTTGGCGACTTAGTCGCCCAATAGCGCGAGCGATTCAGTCGCTACCAGCCTATGGGTTCTATTCAATTACCTCATTTATCAGTATGATCCACATCTATCAATGTATTCAAATTTTGTCGGTTTTTTCTTCGTGATTACCAGCTATAAAGAATTAATGACAAATACAGGGCAAATAATTACTGCCATCGAATATGCGCCACAGGCAAATCTGGACATGTAAAATCACTCATTGATGGAGAACGTGGAGACCGTCATGCAAAAGCAACGAAAAAAAGAGACAACGAAAGATATACCTTGCAGTGGCCCACCGGTTAGTGGTGGAGCGTCTCCGGTCGCGCGTCAAGCATGCGCGTTACATGGCCCGACTGCGCCCTCCCGATGGAGTGGGCGGTGGTCTTCTTGAAATCGATGAGGTAATTTTCAAAGCGATTCTTCATCAGAAATCGTTTCGAAGCTTCACTGCCAAGCATTATTGAGAAGCGAAGGGGGAGGGGGGCCTTTTCGCTGACTGCGGATTTGCTCATCCTACGCATGGAGAGGATCCCCTGACGTTACCGTAGAATTGTGTCCTTAATCTGTAATCTCTGCTTCTCCCAGTGCAGGATGCAGCACCGTTGTTAGAGTCCCATCAGGCGGTAGTGCTTAGCAGTTGGAGAAGGAGGTTGCATTGGACGAAGGGGGGGGGGGGGAGCGTCTCGGTTCTTGAGAGAATTTCTTCTAAGCCACGAGAGCTTCGGTTGTCGCCTTTTCGCGGTTTTTCATTTTTTTTCGGTTTCTCGTGGGTTACATTCCCCAAAATTGACAGACTGACATATCGGTGGACCGACAGTTTGACATACCGGTAAAAGACTGACACAGTGGCAGAGCGACAACGAATTGAAACTTATAAGTGACTCAAAACTCAGGTGCTCTCGAAGTTAGGGTGATTCTCCTATTGTAATCAGGGCTTAAGTTTAGACATTTACATATCTTCTTTGATGGACTATCTCTCGACAACTCTGATCGTTAGCATTCTAAGCCTTTCTTTTTCGGGAAGGGATAGAGAGGCCCAAGAGGCCCTTCCCAAATATGTTAGCGCCAAAATGCAGACTATTCTAGGTGAACAAACGTATCGATCAACAACATGAAAGGGGGATGGCCACTTATAATCGGACTAGTTTCAATGAACGCGAACAAAAAAAAACTCTGAAGTGAAACCGTCCAAAAACATCTCAGGAAGGCAGCGATAGGGAAAAGTGATAAAAGTTAGCTGTAGGGCTGCGCTAATGCGGAGGGTAAATAAAGCCTTGTCGTTTTTTTTGCAACGGTCGACTCCTGTCGAGGCAGAGAGGAGAAACGATTCAGCTTGTGGAGGTAAAAAGGGATCATTCCCTGGGTTAACTCTAGCATAGCGAATGGCAACTGAATCGCCAATGCAGAAAAACGCGAGAAGCTCACTCTGGGATAGGACTTTTGAAATCATTTCCTCTCAAACTGATGAATACTTTCCTTCTAGGTTGGAGTGATGGGTATATTAATGTCGCTGGAACATTCATAAGGCAATTCATTGTCACGAAAATAAACCGAGGTGGGTTACGAATGAAAAACAATGTGAAATCAGCTGCATCCCAGCCAACGAAAACAGTTTGGTTGAATCAGCGGGTTACAAACAAATATTGATCGCATTCCTACGGATTGAACAGGACTGCGCGCCCTCAAATTGTCCTGTGGACGAAAGGAGTTTGCAAAACTTTGTGTGCAACTACAGACAACTTTACGCCTTATTGTTAGGGGAGAGGCCTGTTGTTCCAGTTACTGTTTTTTCTATATAGCCGCAATGAGAATCTCTGGTTTGACAGTTCAAATAGCTGCTAGCGGTTTCATTTGAAAAACATTGGAGTAAAAAGGGGCGTTCTGGTGATTACGGTCATTCAGTTTTGTACAACTTCATCCTGAGGGCGATATTGCTACGGATTTGGCATACCGAACGGCATTCAGTTCTGAAAAAAATGAAGGAACGATAGTAAGCCAAATAGGTGAACATATTTGCCTAGGCATAGGGCTGCTACCTATTCTTTTTCGCCGAATCTTCCCATTTCGCCTTTTCCTCAGTTCCTTGCTTCTCCAAGTTCTCCAAATCGATACATGGACATTCGTTCTCCGCAGTTTCGTCGATTCGCGAAAGGCGTTTTCTCTTGATACGGACTCCCTCCAGCTCTCTTGAAACGGCTACGGTACAACTAAAAGATTTTCTGCATTACGCATGTACGCAATATCTCGTCAGTTGTTCCAGTCAGTTCATTGGCGAAGGAGTACCACTTCGAGTGTCCACGTCATCTGTTCCTTTTCCTATTTCATCTTCATTGACTTAGATCCGATTTTTGATCCCGCCGCACAAATTTTGTCCCTCTTGTTTCTACGATGCAACCAATCCTTGCTGTGAATTCCACGTAGTTCAGGATGCGCAGGTTAGTCCTCTTAACGGCTCTCTTGTCGTTGAGAGTCTACGGAATAGAGCTAACGTTTGAGCTTCCGGATAATGCAAACCAGTGCTTTTACGAGGAAATCAAGAGTGGAGTGGATGTTTTACTCGAATACCAGGTGAGCACGTTTTTAATATATTTTCTTTTAAGAAATGTTAAACAAATATCAAGTGTACGTTTCGTGCTGGTAAGCTTAAGTCAGTCGAGCTCATTCCGAGCTTCTGCCCTTTGATACCTGAGCCGCAGTGGTCGCAGTTTAGTCGTAAGGCTGGATTACGCGGGGCATGTGAACCGCTCAGCACTACACAGGACACTATTTTCGCGTGATTCTGTGCGTTAGCAGTCGTACGGCGCGCTTGCACACGACGCCTAATCCCTTGTCTGCCACCCTCTTACTTCCCACACTCTGTCCTGGACGGCGGTGGTCGTTGCCGCAAAGTGTGAACGCAGCCTAAGGAGTAGAGAGGAGGAAAGCAAAGAGTACTCTCATCAACCCTTACCGGTCACCAAGTCGCTTCCTGCCACCTACCATTAATGTTCCGTCGTGCCACGTATAACATTTTTTTTCAAATCAAGGGCGCTTTAATGCGCCCGCGCGCCCTTCCAAACCTTTCCTTCTCATTGTAGCGCCCCTTATCAGCTTCAGTTGTTATCACCATTAGTATCCTTCACGTCCCACTCCGTATATCACTTCGTGGAACCACGACCCAGTCTGCTGCGACATGCGCTATAACACCAATGACGCTCCCCTAGGCCGCGTTCAGACTCCGCGATGCGATCGCCCCAATGATTGGATCGCGCTCACGACCGGGGCCCTCCATCGCCAAATGATGCACCGGCGCAATGGCATATTTCGAACTGACACTGTGCGAACGTGGCCCATTTTGATGTCTAGTTTGCGGTTGGGCAAGCTGAGAAGCGTCTCAGTCGCGGTCGTGCAATCCAATCGCTCGACGCTCGAGCGATCCAATCGCGAAGTTTGGACACGGTCAATTCTATTAGATGCGTATCAATGTAATACCTATTAAGATGGCTTGTATTTTGTGGTATCACCTCTATGTAGCAGTCGCTTCTTTAGGTTGTTACTGGTGGCCAATATGACGTCGACATGACTTTAGAGGATCCACATGGAAAAGTTCTTTACAAAGATATCAAAAAGCAATATGATACTCATAGCTGGAAGGCAGAAGTAAGTTGTGTTGCAGTGCGGTCACTAAGTGTTAGTAAAAGAGATTTTTTTTAGGTTCCCGGTACTTATAAGGCTTGTTTCTCAAATGAATTCTCTACATTTTCGCACAAGATTGTTTACATGGATTGGCAGGTTTGTTGGCTCGCGGATATTCTAATTCTTTTCACTTTTGAGGTTTATTCCTTTATGGTGATGAATTTGGTGCAGAGCGGTCGAAACATTCAAAACCGACGGGCTATTCAGTTTATTTTGGAATTTCAGGAAGGGGGCATGGCTGTTACTTGGAGGGTCCACGCGGCAGCGCGATTCCCCATGATGCGGTCATATACGTTTTCTCACCGACGGCTGGACCTTAGGATATCGCAAACAACCAAAGTCCGATGCAGCAAAGCAGAGAAGTGGACTGCGTCGCGCCGCTTGGCCCCTCCCAATTACAGTGGCGCCAAAGAAGGAAACCTGATTTTGGATAGTGGGATTCTTTTTGAAGGAACTGGTTCCACCTTTGGAGTTTCTTCCCTTATGCTTTGCAAATATCTTCGCATCCCTAGCTCACAGCCCTTTCCTCGCAGTTTTCGCCACTAATTACCGTTCACCCTTAATAAAAATTCAAAGAAATGGCGTGGAAAAGAAACTTTAACATTGTGCAATGTTGAGGAGTTCCCGTGCAAAGTTTCTTTTACCGTAATCCGAAGAACTTTTGCACTAAACGTCTTACCGCGTGGGAGTAGCGCCTCTCCAGTTCTTAGAATCATATTTTATTGTCGCATGATGGAATTCAGGTGAACGATCAAAGCACTCCCAAGCCAGGTCTAACATCCGGCACTCATTCTATGACATCGCTTGAAAATTCTGCTGTTGCCATTGCTGACAAACTGCGAGTGGTGGGTCTTACTGCATTTTCTGTGAGATCTCTGAGAATCTCTTTTCTTTCAAGGTGGATGATTACCAAACACATCACCGCCTTCGCGAAGCAACTGGACGAAAACGTGCTGAACAGTTGAATGAGCGCGT